GAGATCAGCAGAGGTGTCTGGTCCTAGTCATTGAATCATAAAAGCCAAGAGGAGTTTAACTGCAGGTCATGTTGCTGATTGATTTCTCCATCCAGCAGTGCTGCCCTGGAGGGGAGAAGGAGCCACAGCTGGCCAGGGTCAGGCCCAGGTCTGTCCAGCTTTAGATACTGGCAGCTGCAGTCCCAGCCACACTGGATCCCCACCTCTCCCTGGAGGCTCTCTGAGAAGCAGGGAGGCTCAGAGGAAGGGGAGTCAAATTGGTGCCTTTCACTGCAGTAGGAGAGAAAGGTGAGCAGGCGCCTGCGTGGGGAAAGAGATGGCCCGCCCTCACGCCCTTACCCCCATGCTGACTGGCAAGAAGCACCAGTCTGGGTGGTGGAGCCCAGGCAGAGGAAAAGAGAAGCAAAGGTCCCAGGGTCAGAGAATAAGATTAGTGCAGCAGCTGCCAGCATCTGTTCAGGGTCTCCAGCCTCCTCAGTGACTACCTGTATACTGCACCCCTCCCCCAAGAGGCCAGCAGAGCCAAGGCCCTCTTTCAGGGGACAGAGATTCAGTCCAGACACACCCTTAGCTAGTGCATCCCCATCTCCTCTGTCTCCCTTGCCCCTCTGCCTGCCCAGCACCCTGACCCAGCCGGAGGAGAGCATTGGCAGCTGGAGCTGGGAACCAGGTGGCAGAGCCAAAAACAACAGTGGAGCCGCCTGGCTGCCTGGGTGCTGTGCAGTCCATTCCTGGTCTAACTGCAATGCCTACTATTGCAGCTCCTTCCCAACTGGTTCTGACCCTACTGGGTCACACATGCCTCCCTTTGTCAGGGCCTGGAGCTGGTCCTAGAGGGACTGTCAGGTTATCTCTGAGTCCAGCTGCCCAAACCTTCCCTAATTCTCAGGGTCTCTCCCCAGTGCCCAAAGGTCTCTGGGAAATGAGTCATCTATTTTCTGGATCTCTGGCCTCATCTCCCAGCTTGCTGGAAGCTCTTTTTGTTCTAACTCCCATCTATCTTGCTGCAGTGGTAATTTTATTTGGGAGAATCAGAGCTGGGCCTTACCAGAATTGAAAAGGGCTGGGTCCCTGAATCCAGGGAGGCAGGAATGGAACATTGGCATTGGTATGGAGAATCAGACCAGATGAGGAGGCACAAGTCCACACTGTGTGCTAAGTGCAATACTGAGGGTTCAGAGAGGCCAGGAGACACAACTGTCCTGGCCCAGCCCCTCCCAACTCCTTTCTTTCATTGTTAGACCTCCCACCCTCTGTTCAAGTCCAGCCTTCTTTGCTGCCCCTACATGGAGTGAGAGATCCAGGGTCCACTCCCACCTGGGTTTCATTTCTACATGACTCCCAGCCAACAAACTCTCTGACCCAGCAGATGCAATAACACTGCTCAGGGTGAGGCCCTTCCACAAGTGCTGAATTTGGCCAGAGCTTCTCTTTGGTCCCAGTTGGGGGTGAGAGTGAGGGGTACATGACTCTCCCACTCTTCCCATTCCTCCCCCCACCCAGCCTCAAGGGAGTGATGGAGAGGGGTGAGGGTGTCTCCTCTTCCTAAGTCTCAGACCCATTAATCCGGCACACAATATATCCACTCTCACACTTCTCCAGCCATACAAAAGCCTGCTCATCTCCATTCCCTGCTGCAAAACCAATCACTTTCTTTAAAAAAAAAAAATTTTTTTTTTTCTTTATTGATTTCAGAGAGAGAGGGAGAAAGAGAGAAACATCCATGAGAGACAGCATTGATTGGCCGCCTCCTGCATGCCCCTCACTGGGATTTGGCCCACAACCTGGGCATGTGCCCTGACTGGGAATCAAATCCGAGACCTCTTGGTGCATGGGTCAATGCTCATCCACTGAGCCACACCGGCCGGGCCAGCCACTTTCCTCTTAGCCACACTGCAATGTGAACACAGTCCCAGAATGTTCCTTTCCTAACTCTCTCTGGCCTGTTTTCTCCTTACCCCACCCCCATCCTACCTCTGTTCCCCCAGCTTTTCTCACCAACTTTGCACCTTCCCTAACTAGAGTCTTCAAATTCCTAGATGAGGCCCAAGAGGGGTATGACAAGGCGCCTAGAAAGAAGGAACGGGCTGCCCCCAGCAGACCTGCCGCAAATCTGGTCATAATTAAAAGACTAGCGACACTGGGAAATTTCGTCATATTGATCCCAACGGGAAATTAGAGCCAGTTGTTTGTGACTGAGTGACTGATGCTGACTAAGCTCCTCCCCTTCCGCGGGTTCCAGGGCCCTAGCCCTCGCCCCTCTCTTCTAGGCTAGCCCATTCTCTTGTTAGCCCCCCCTTTTCCCACCCCACCCCCATCTCATCCCATTCACTTCCCCCAACCCCCTTCCCCAGCATCTTCCCTAAACTCCGAACCCCCATCCCTGCACTTTCTAATGGATTAACAGGGCTACTGGAGGCTGAAACCTCCAGCCCAGCTGCTCAGCACCCTCCTCCAGACCCTCGGACCACCTCCCTCAGCCACGGTTGGGGTGCAGGGGCTGGAGCTCAGGCCCAGAGCTGCCAAACCACAAACACATCTGGAAAAAATTCCCCTCCCAGCCTAACTTCCCTTTGTCTTCTGTCTTTTTGGAAATTCTGGCGGGCTAGTCGGTGGGGGAAGTGAGGAAGAAAGGGGAGGGAAGTGGGCCTAGGCCTCCTTGGCCCCACCCCAGGGAGCTCTTGTCCAGCCTTCTCAGTATCCTCTGTCAGACCATGTCCCTCCTACATGCTACCGTAGGTCTAAGCTCCCTCATTCTGGTCATCGTCTTCTGGGTGAGGTTTTAACATCCTCAGTCACCAGGCTCTTGGGGGTGAGGGCCTGCCTCGGGCCTTCTCTTTGCAATAGGTTGTCTATTGAGCGGGAGACTGGACTGTTCTGGATGGGGGCTCGGAGGGCTGGAGCGAAGTGGAGATGGACTTAGTGACTTAGGTGGAGGAGGTAGCGGGCAGTGAGGGGGAGGAGGGGCAGTGGGAGTCTGGTTTCAGCCATGTTCCCTCTCTTTGGCTGGGAGCCTGATTTCACTGTCAGAACCTAATCCCTCTCCCTTTACCTACAGCACTGCTGGAGCCGTGGGTGGGGGAGGAGCACAGGCTGAGCCGGCAACCTCAGGCCCTGAACACCCCCAGGGACACACCCTTCCCGCTACCACCTCTGCTTTTGTCTGTCCTACCTCAGAGAGCTCCTCTACTTGCTGCCCTCTTACTTCCAGAAGCCCAGTCCTCTCCTCCCCAAAATTAACTCCTCCGCATAAAACCTAGACCCCTAAAAGCAGGCTGAAGCATCCAGCTCCCTTCTTAAATTCTAAGTTTATTGGTTCGTGCTGGGTGGGGCCCCCTCAAAAAATCCTTTCTACAGTCTAATCTCCATCTCTTCTGCTCTAGTCACCCTAGCAGCTTTATTATATTTTTTCTGCACATCCTTTATTCAGAGATTTCCCTCCTTACAGCAAGAGGCTCCACCCCCTGTGCGTTCTCCAGTCCTTGGTAAATCCTTCAGCCCCTGTCCTTTGGTTCTTAGGCCTCTGGACTCCTTCCCAGCTTAGGCCCCCTCTAGATCGGTCCAGGGCTCTAAGAGAGAGGGCTCAGAACCTCAGAATCTCTGCTCCACCCATGGCCACGCTGGCAGGGCTGGGACCAGATGTGGGGTTTCTCCTCCCCGCCTCGGAAGGAGCTGGGAGGGTAGTCCTGGCAGGGTAGCGGGGGTGGGGACGTACTGGCAGCTGGGCCATCTGCGCGAATTCGCCCAGGGCACCTGAGCTGCAGCGTCCCTCCGCGCCGGACAGGTCCGGACCGCTCCGCGGGCTCAGAGCACCGCATCCCGTCCTGCTCCATTCTTCTGCCGTGGGCGGTCTTGGGTCTCCATCCCGTCTCCGAGGCTCCCCGCCTGGCCTCTTTTTCTCCTTCCCGGGCCCCCGGCCCTCTCCGTCGGGGTCTCAGGGGGAAATCGTGCCCTGCCCCCTCCTTTGATCTCCCACTTCAAAGCCGCTCCCTGAGGGGTGGCCGCTCCTTCCGCTCGTTTTACAGCTGAGAATGGTGACACCTGAGACCCTGCTCCGCCTCCTTCCTGGGGCACCCAGCCTCCTTCCAACCTCGGAGGCAGCGGCGCGCCGGGGCTCCGCGTCGGTCCCCGCCTCTCCTCTCTGCCGCCTACTGCGATCCCCTGGGGGTCTGGAGCCTAGCTGCGGAGAAAGCGCCTTAATAAAGAGCTCGTGTCAAGTGATTGGCTGTGACCTCTGTCCTCCCCAGACTCGCGCGGGGGCTCCCGCTTAACCCTTTGAAGCACGCCCTGCGCGGTGGAGGAACGAGTCTCCCTGCGCCAACGTCCCCAGGTTGTACTGGAGTCCGAAACCCGTTGGGGAGTCGGGGAGGGGTGCTGCCCCCTCCTAGCCCCTTCGAGTTGTTCCAGCAGGGGGCGTCGTTGCCTCACTTAAGTGCCTGGCCCGGAACCCCGGGGGTCCTAGCCAGTCTCTGAGTTCCAAGTGGTCCCACGGGATCCAATTCAGGCTTCAGCGGAGCGGGAGCTCGGGCGCCCATTCCTTTCCCCAGCTCCGGCTCGCGAGCAGGGACTCACCCGCTAGTGATGTCGCCAGGTTCCGGTACCAAGGAGTTGGGAAGATGTGGGGAACCGGCACGACAGGACCTAGGGTTCGGACCGCAGGACCTGAGACCTGGGCATCAGCGCCCGGGGCCTGCCCCCTCCCCCCCACTCCCACCCCCGCCCTCGGCTGAGAGGCCAATCTTAGTCCTCTCTCCGTCCGTTTCCCCAGCCAGTCGCCGGCGCAGGGGGGGGTAAGCTATCTCGGTCCCTAGCAAACCCTGGTCCCGCCCACGGGGCTAAATCCTGAGGCAGGGGTCTGGGGTTAGTGTAGGCAATGCAGGGCCAGGGCTGGGGCCCCCCAGGTGGGGCGGAAGGCGGGGCAGGAGGAGGGGCCACTTCGTTTTTTGGGCAGGGGCGGGCCCGCACAGGGTATAAAAAGTGTCCGCGCGGGAGCCCAGGCCAGCTTCGGAGTTGTCCTGGGACGTGTCCTTCTTCCAGATTCTCAGGCGAAGGCGGCGGCCACTTAGCTTTTGACTAAAGGACTCAACGTCCAGTGCTCCAGCAGAGAGACTTAAGGGGACCGCCACCAGAGCCGCCACCATGCCCAACTTCTCTGGCAACTGGAAGATCATCCGATCGGAAAACTTCGAGGATTTGCTCAAAGTGCTGGGTAAGGAGATTTTCGGGAGAGGAGACGGGGAGCCGGAGTACTCGGTGGTGGGTAAGAGAAAAAAAGGGGGGACTAGAATGAGGGTGTGGGAGGCTAAGTCCCTGCATCCCCAATAAAAGGGGCCATACACCTGGGTCCTGGGGCGATGGGCTGGGACACCTAAATCCTGCTTTCTCTGGCGGGGCGCCCACCGATGCCAGCTCCTGCGGTGACTCAGCCTATGAATCAAGTAGAAACCAGAAGCACGAGGTCGGTGTCCCTTGGGGTGGGGAAGGGGGGCTCTCCGAAATTCAGAAGTTGAAAACCCTGCATCCAGGCAGGGAGCCTGGGTCCCTATCCCACCGAGCCACTGGGACACATTTCAGTATCCATCCTTGTCCCCACTGGTAACCCAGTCCCCAGGGCAACATTACCCCTATGCGCTGCTCTCCACCCACCAGGTGATCCCACCTCAGTGTCCCCATGATCCTCCTTCCTTCCCCCTTCAGCACTTTCCACCCTGCTCCCTCCTCACCCCCATCTGTGAGACAGACATTTTCCTACACTGAGCAGCTCCAGAGTCCTGAAATCCCTCTTTAATTAGCACTTTCTTCGATTTCAAAACAAATGGTTTATGTTTTCTGTGTAATCTCCCCACCCCCTTTCCCAAAATCTGAGCTTTCGTCTCCCTTCCTCCCTGGAGGCCCACTACAGCCCAGCTGGGTGTGCTGGTTAAAGGTGGGGAAAGTTGTACCCACCCAGATGGCCCTTCCCAAAACTCGTATGTGCCCTCTGTCTGGGGAAGGGGTGAAAGATAGGAAATGGCTGAAGAGAGGGTTCTGGAAGAGATGGAGGTGAGATAAGCAATTGGGAAGCCACCTGGGAGCCCTGGAGCCATCCGCTTCTGGACTGAACAAAGAGGATACAGTTGGGCTGGGTGGGGATGAGCACCTTGTGTGGGGCAGGGAGCTGTAGGAGTAAAGCTAGACCTAGGAAGGGTCTGGAATGCTATAGGGAAAGCAAGGATTTCCATCATTACTTGCTGTTAGTTCTTTTTTGTTGTTGTTAATCCTCACCTGACAATTTTTTTTCCTTTTTTTTTTTTTTTAAGATAGAATGGGAGAGAGAGAGAGAGAGAGAGAGACATCAATGTAAGAGAGACACATTGATTGGTTGCCTCATGAGCAACCCTTGTGCACAACCCTGGCTGGGGATTAAACCTGCAACCCAGGTATGTACCCTTGACCTGGAATCGAACCTGCGACCCTTCATTCCACGGGCTGATGCTCTAACCACTGAGCAAAACTGGCCAGGGCCCTGTTAGTTCTTCTTGCAGTCTAACTAACCACAGTACTTATAGTCACATAAGTCTTTCTTGTTTTCCCCTTGCTGAAATTAAAGACTGAAAGGATAGAAAATTTCCCTTCAGAAAGCCTAGACGTCGTTCCCTCCCCCATCTTCTCCAGATTTGGGATTTGGCCCCTCTCCCCAGTGGATGAGGCACTCCCAGGTCCCAGCTGGAGAATAAGATCCAAAGCCCAACCTCATTGAGTTCATCTGTTTGTCCTCCCTGCAGGGTCTCTCAGAGCCACGTGCCCACCTCGGGTCCTGCTGGGGGACAGATTGAAAACAGACCCATTAGCACAGTCCTGAGTCAGCCAAGGTTGGCTGAACCTGGACCCAGCTCCACAGGCAGCAGAGGCTGGCTGGAAGGGTGTCTCCTCTGAACCCAGCAGCCCTGCCTCTACAGGAACCTCAGTTCCTTCTCACCCTCCTTTGCCCTAGTCAAGGGTCCCTCTCCTGGTGAGGGATGCTTAGGTATTTGGAGGATAACTGTTCCATGCAGTATGATGGTCATGGCATGTAGCAGGTTTTGCTTCTGTAACAGGAAAGATGGATGTTAGATAGCAGGATGGACTTCCAGGTATCAACAGAGTGAAGCAGTCTCTGTGCAAGAAGATAGAGTGGGATGTACCCCCTCTACCAAGTCAGTTGAACCTGGAACCTCAGTCATTTCTCCCTGGACCTGAGATCAACAGTCAATAACTGGGCTCCTGGGGGCTCCTGAAGGACAGGGCTCTCTCCCTCCCACTCCCCTCTTTCTGGACCAGAGTGGGTCTGCTGTGGTGCTAAGGGGAAAGAGGATTTGTTTCTCTAGGTACCCAGGTCTAGAAGAGGGACAGGGAGTTTGGGCTAGATCAGGGGTAGGGGAATCCCACTCACCTGGCACAGCTGAGCTTGGCCCCCTCACCAATTGCTTCTCTGCAGGATTCTGCTCCCGCTCAGGACTGGAAGCCAGGCCTGGCAAAGTGGTGTGAAGTTTAGACCTGGGCCTTCACCAGAGGTGCCTCCCTGCCTGCTTGTCTTTCTGTCAGAGGGGTGCTCTCTGCTGGCTCCCCCACCCCTCTTAATAACAGGAGCAGAGAGAAGGCGTCCAATCTGGGAAAGGATGTAGGGGACAGGCACAGCAACTCTGAACGAGAGGCCTTATTACCTGAGGTGGGGAGGGTGATCCTGGAGTTGGGGACATACCAGGGGACGAGAGGGCAATGTCCCTTTCTGTCCCTTGAAGGGAGAGGGGTGTGGGGACCTTCCAGGAGGGCAAGTGAGCAGGAGTCTGATGCAGAGAATGCCTGAGCCCCAGCTCTGGCTTTTTCTTTGCCTTCCTTTTATCAGTAAAAATTACAGCAACAGTATGACTAGCAACTGTTTCTTAAAAACTCAAAGGTGTGCCTGGCACTGTGTGCTAGGCCCTAAACACACCCACTTTATTCCATTTACTAGGCTTTGGAAGAAGCTATTGTCTCCGTTTTACAGTTGAGGAATCTAAGCTCAGAGAATTTTAGCCATTTGCTTAGGGTCACCCAGCCTGCAAGGGAGGCTGAACCGGGTGGAAATCAGGACCCAATGAATCTTACTCCAGATCCTCTGGCTTCCCCAGGCTGCTGGACACCTCTTCCCTTGCGGGGAATCTCTGCTCCTTCTCATTTTGGGGAGGGATAGGGATATGGGGCAAATGAAGGCCCACCTAGCACCAGACAGGGGAGGTAGATAGCACAGGGAGGGACGTGGTCCCCATTTCCAGGACACAAGTGGTGAGGCCTGGCCTGGGAGGGTCTGCCCTGCACTTGAGTAGAGCTGAAGACACAGTGGCTAGCAGAGGGTCTCAAGTAGGGTAGACAAAGGGCCCAAAGTGAGGTGGACAGAGCCAAGGTGAGCCATGGCAGGATGCCTGCTGGGTGAGGGGAATGGGGAAAAGCTGCCCCTGAGAACTCTTAGAGCGAAGAGCTGAGGCGGGGGTGTGATCTAGGACCACTGACTCATCCAGGTGGGGTGGCAGCTAGGAGCAGGATCCTGAAGGGCAGGGGATTGCCTCTCTGCCCCTCCTCCTTAAACCCCACCATCCATCAGGGCTGCATCCCCTTCCTTCTCCTTCAGTGTACTTTCTTGGAAATAATGCAGACTGCTCCAGCTGTTTCACGGGGAGGGTGTAACACAGGTGCCTGGAGCACCCTGAAACATGAGCCTCTCCTCTCTGCAGGGGTGAATGTGATGCTGAGGAAGATCGCTGTGGCTGCCGCATCCAAGCCAGCAGTGGAGATCAAACAGGAGGGAGACACTTTCTACATCAAAACCTCTACCACTGTGCGCACCACAGAGATTAACTTCAAGATTGGAGAAGAGTTCGAGGAGCAAACCGTGGACGGGAGACCCTGTAAGGTGAGTGCCAGGAAGGAGTCTCTCAGGGTCATGGCTTCTATTGCCCTGCCTCTCAACATGCCACTTTCTAGTCTTCTCCTGGATTCCTTTCTCCTTTTCTAATGGAGAAAGTCCCTAGGTAGTGTTGGTGGGTAGAAAAGGGGGTACATCCCCCTCGCACTACATTGTCCCTGCTGTGGGCCCAGCTCACTTGGTCACCTCTCTCTCTTGCAGAGTCTGGTGAAATGGGAAAGTGAGAACAAAATGGTCTGCGAGCAGAGACTTTTAAAGGGAGAGGGTCCCAAGACCTCCTGGACTAGAGAACTGACCAACGATGGAGAGCTGATCCTGGTAAGTCCTGCCTCCTCCCAGCTAAGAGCAAGCCCACTGCTACTTTGGAGGATTTTCTGGGAAATGTCAGGGTACAAGGGGTTCAAGGACAATCATGGTTAGTCTCCCCACCTCCTGATGGGGCTGCTGGGGTGTGACTAAGCTGTCCCTGTCCCATACAGTGCCCTTGTGCAAATGAGAAATGGTGTCCCTTCTTTGTGGAACAATGGACATTCACTGAGAGGTCCCAGCAGTTCTCCAGGGGATCTCCCTGGCTTGGGGATGAGGGTATAGGGTAGACCCCTGAGACTCTGTTGCCATCCTCCCTCCCATGATGCCCAGGTACTTTGGGACCAGCTTCTGACTGTTGGTCCTGAACCAAGAAGCAGGTTTGGGCCTGGAGACAAAGCAGAGTTCCTCCATTCAACCCTTCTGCTCTCCTCATGCTACAGAGCCAGGGGCCTCCCAAGCTAACAATGACTTCTATCCTTCCAGACCATGACGGCAGATGACGTTGTGTGTACCAGGGTCTACGTCCGAGACTGAGTGGCTGTGGGTCTGCCAGATGCCCATGCCCACCCCCAGCGCATGCTCCTGCTTCACTGCCCATGGGCCACCCCCCCCCCATTCCTTCTAGACTAGTTCTCCCTTCACCTGTGTCACTTCCCCAGGGTGCTGGGGTGCCTCCTGCAGGGCTCTGCTTTTTTTTTTTTTTGGCCTCTCCTCCCTGCCCCTCCCCTATACCAACAAAGAGTGGTGGATTGCAAAAGCCCAGATCACCCATTCCGGAATCACTGCCCCCCCAACCCCAATAGGCAGTCCCAGCTCTGAACTAGCTCAGAACAGTCTCTTTCTGTGAGGGGACCTGAGGGCCTGAGAGGGAAAGACTGGCCCTCTGGCTTCTACTTTGTCCCTGTAGCTTATACAGTATAGAATATTTATTGGTTAATTTTATTAAAATGTTTTAAAAAATATAACCTGTCCCTGGCTCATTGGAAAGGATATGGATATGTGTAAGTGGGGGAGCTGAGGTTTTAGTAGCAGGGATATGAGTTATGATCCTTCTCTTCATTCTTCTCACCACCACCCCTTCATTTGCTGGTGAATCCATGAGCATCACCTCCACTTCCCCTCCTCCAGTCTCCTTGGTCCCCCCTCTGGCTTCCAAGGTCACCAGGGCATCATCCTCCTGACCTCTCAGAGGGGCGCTTGGCACTGAGGAGCTGATTCTTATCTTCTCCCACGTCCTCCACAAGGGGTCCTCCACAAAGGTGATATGGACTCCTCCTCCCTCAGTTGTTCCTTCTCTCTCCTCCAACCTCAGTCCATGGGCTGTGGGTGACCCCAGGCCTGGCCTTGGCCTCCCACACATTCCAGATGAGCTCACTGATGCCCCCAGGCTGACCTTGCTCCTGCCCAGGTCTGTGTTTGAGACGAGCCTGTCTCCGCCTTGAGAGCTCACATATCCCTTCCGCCCTGGCTCCTAAATCTTTCCGGCCCCTTGGATCCTTCTCTCACCCATCTTCCAGAACCTTCACACTCAGGTTTATACAGCATCTCCCCAAACTCCATCCTGATCTCTCAAACGCTTGCCCTCCTTCCCCAGCCACTGCCCTACTCCAGACCTTGTCATCACTCACCAGGTTTCATACAGCAAAAGCTTCTAACTGGTTTCCTGCCCTTCTCGTCCCTTTATCATGACACGAGAGAGTGAAATGAGCACAAGTGTTGGAGTAAGAGAGTTTCGAATCCTGGTTTTGTCACTTGCTATGTGTGTGACCTCAGATAAGTTTCTTAGTTTCTCGGAGCCTTAACTTCGCACAGGCTGAAGCTGCCCCTCCTGCGTCGGTGCTGACCGGCTGGGCATGCTCACAGCTTCTGTGTGCGCAGAGCACTTTCTCTCCTGCAACACCAAGCTGCCCTGGGGCTGGGCCACTGCTCCTGCCCCACGAGAGGCCACGTACTGCAGCCCTGCAGCCGAGGGCAGAGAGTGAGGGCCAGGGAGTTGGGGAGGCAGAGTCCAGAGTCTGCTCTGAGTGTGGGGTGGGGGTAGTGAGAGGTCCTTTCATCTATTCATCCAACTATCATTTTCTGAGTGCCTCCTAGGGGCTGGGTACCCTGCTAGGTGCTGGGAACACATATGAATAAAAAAGGGCAAGATCTCTGCCCTCATGGGGTCTGTTGTGGGGGGCACTGATCTTTAATGGGGAAAGATAGACAATTAATAAACAAATGCCCCAGTAAATACCTGTATACTGTGTAGGTGCCATGAAGGAGAAGGGCAGCAGAGGGAGAGCATGACGGAGGATCCTCTTCACACAGCCTTTTGCAGGCCCTCCGGCCCCCTTCCAAAGTGCTTAGATTGGGGTGGGGAGAGGTGGCCAGAGCAGGTGTTTTGGAGGACAAAGCACTCAGGGGGTCCTGAAGCACCTGGTGGGGTAGAGCAGAGGGAAAGGTGCTCTAGGCAGAGGGAACCACAGGGTAAAGGACCTGAGGACAGTCTTGGGCTGTCCAGGGTCCTGTGAAGAGTGCATGGCAGCTGGGGGCTGTCAGAGGCTGGATGGACCTGAGGGCCGTAGCACCTTATTTTATTCTAAGTGCAATGAGAAGCCATCGAGAGGCTTTTCAAAGGGGGGTCGCATCCCTTTGTGTTTTTAGCTGCCAGTACAGATGGGTGGGAGACAGGGGAGTGAAGGGAAGCCACCAGGAGGCTAGTGAGATACTCAGCAGAGCATGAGGGGCCAGAGGTGGAGGGTACAGCTTCAGTGATATATTAGATGGGAGGGGAGTGAGAAAGGTAGGGGTCAAGGTGGCTCTCGGACTTCTGGCCTGAGTCACTAGGGCACTGATAGTGTTTTCAGAAATGGAAAAAATTAAATAGACTGGGCTTTCTGGATGCCAGTTTTCTGTTTGTTTTAATCCAGAAGAATCCTAACTCCTCTCCTTTCTGCATCCGGCTCCTGCATCACCTCCTCTTTTCTCACCCATCCTTGACTCCAGTTCTGTCTGACGATCTGGGCTGCTGGTTCCTTTCCCACCCGAAGCTGACTCCCCTCCCATCCCGGGGAGACCTTTCTGCAGGCCCTCCGGCCCCCTTCCAAGGTCCTGGTGGCTGGAATTGTCTGCCAGTTTGCTCCGAGCCCCTGCTCTTGCTTCTCTGCCTAGTTTGTCTCTTTCTGGAACAAAGATGTTGAGAAAAGGCAGATTTCTCTTACTCAGGAGATCCCAGAGGGCGGGGCTGGGTCTCTCCCTCAGACTGGGGGTTTCCTGAAGACAGTGGCTGCCATGGGCAGGGCCTTTCCTCCGGGCTCTGCTGCTCCGGTCCTTCCTTACCCACCTGTCTGAGATGACAAGGAAGTCACTGTCCTGACCCTGGAGATTGGATCAGGGAGTGGCGTCTCACCCATCTGACCCGCCCTTGAAAAGTCCCTCCAGCCCTGGCTGGGTGGCGTAGTTGGTTGGAGCGTCATCTCCTACACCAAAAAGTTGTGGGTTTGATTCCCAGTCAGGGCACATACTTAAGTTGAGGGTTCGATCCTGGTCGGGGCGAGTATGGGAGGCAACTGGTCGATGTTTCTCTCCCTTTCTCTCTCTAAAAAAAAAAAAATCAATAAACATATCCTCGGGTGAGGATTAAAAAAAAAAAATGAAAGAAAGAAAAGGTCCCTTCAGCTTCTCTTCCCTGGAGTCCCTCTTGGGCTCCTCTTCCGTTACCTAGGCCTTCATTACTCAGCAGTGCGAGTTTGGGAGAAAATGCACAGGAGACCCCATCCCCTGCCTACATCCTGACAATTATGTGAGGTTCCCCTGGGCAATCTTCTCTAAAGACCCAGCTTCTCAGAAGGAGGATGAAAGGGCTCAGGCAGCAGAGAGGCCTGGGACACTGCGGCCCAGGACAGGAAGGCAAAGACAAGGGAGGGGGCTTGTGTGATTCTGCCCTGGGGTTGGGGCTGACAACATGGCAGGGGCACCAAAAGGCACTGGAGAGTCTGCGCCAACATCTTAGGGAAACTGAGGTGCATGCGCATGCGCACACATACCCAGGACACAAGAGCATGGAACTCAGAGAAAGGCCTAGTAATGTCAAAACCATGAGGTTCAGGGCATAGCTGAGACCAGAGAAGAGAAAGCCTGTGGGGAGCCCAGGGCCCAGAGTGGTTTTGAGGCCCCCAGAACCTAAGAGCAAGTCTATGCCTACATGTGGCAGGAAGAGCCAAGTTACAAGAACCCACAAGGGAGGAACTGGCAGAAGTCTGGCCAGAGACAGGAAGAGAGGGAGAGAGAGAGATGCAGAGGGAGAGCCTGGGGGCGAGGGACACAGGAGAAAGTAAGTGGGGAAGGGTGGGAGGAGACCCAGACCAGAGAGGAGGAGTGGAGGAGGGGGAAAGAAAGGGCCCCAGGGGTGGAGGGTCAGCGGAGAGGGGACCTGCTGGTCAGGCCCTCTGACCTCAGGCCCCTACAAAAGGCTGCCTCAGGACCTCCACAGACACAAGATGGATGGGACAGGGACTGCTGCGGGCCCTTTGTGGTGGGGGGAGGGGAAACTAGGGGGTGAAAGGGAGCAGGCTCTGAGGAGCGTTCTCCAGGGTCCCCCACCTCTTGTTGGCTCCCTTTCTCCTCCCCTCAGTGACCTCTGGAGCCTTCCAGAGTTAGTGGGGGATGGGGGAGAGGCTGAGGGGGAAATGGGGAGGAGGGGAAGAGAAGAGGAGCTGAGTCCAACCAGGTATTTCTCCTGGCTGGGCCAGTCATACCTGAGAAAGATGGGGGACAGAGTAGAGGGGCAGGAGGGACCTGGGGAGGGGGGTCACTTTGTCTATATAGAAAGTGAATTAGAGTGTTGTCCCAGTATGCCAAGGTTGTGAGAATCAACCAATGCACCCTGGCCGGTTTGGCTCAGCCATTAGAGTGTTGGCCCGCGGACCAGAGAGTCCTGGGTTCGGTTCCTGCTAGGGGCACGTACCTTGGTTGCAGTTTGTCCCCAGCCCTGGTTGGGTGGTATGGGTGGTAACTGGTCAATGTGTCTCTCTCATATAGATGTTTCTCTCCCTTTTCCTCCCTCTCTCCCACTCTATCTGAAGATAAATGCAAAAATGTCCTCAGGTGAGGATTAAAAAAAAAAAAAAAAAAAAAGAATCAACCAATGCATGCACAAAAAAATGGAACAACAAATGAATGTCTCTCTCCCTTCCTCTAAAATCAATCAATAAGAAAAGAAAAAGAAAGTGAATCAGTCATGTGCAAATAAGACACAAACACAGTGCCTACAGGGGCCCCAGCAGTGGTGGTTGAGACTATTGTCCAAGTGCCAGTCAGGGTCCCTGGTCAGGTCCTCCCACCTCTCCTTCAGGCACACCACTGCCCTCCTGACCTCTTGGCTTCTTTCTGCCCTGGCCCCTTGGCACTGCCAGCTGCCAGTCGAGAAACCAGTTCTGTTTCTGTACTGGATAAGAATCTCTGGGCTGGGCTCTTCCCAGGCAGCAGCAGAAACCTGGCAGGCCAACACCACCCCCGCCCCTAGCCAGGGCTGCCAAAATTCCCCACTCCAGGCCCACCGAGGGGCCTTGGTCCTTCCTCACCATCCCTCTCCTGGCTGGCAGGCACCACCTTCCTCTGGCCCCTGGGCACAGCCCCCTTGCCCCTTGCCCGCTACACGGTAGCTTCGTCTCCCCTGCCTCAGGGAGAGCTTTGTAGCTCTTACAGACAAGGGACCCTAGAGGAGCTCCCTCCTCTGGCTCTCTAGCTCCAGTCCCCAGGAAATGTCTAAGCCCCTTCTTATCCAGTGACACTTGGACCCTCAGAGTTCCTTGCCCAGCCCCATCCCTACTGAAGGGTAAGTGCTCAGAAGACCTTGTAGGAGGCAGGGTCTGTCCCTTGGCTTCCCCCCTGGATGCCCATTCCTGCTTCTACTTGTTTCCATTGGTCTGCACTGCCGGA